AAACCTAATAAAATGCAAAACCCACACCAATACAAGGCTCAACCTGTGAACAAAGCGATCCGGCGCGATCTGTGACTTTAGCGCTGGATCCCTCCGTCCACAAGCCAAGCCCCACACCAGTGTGAGTTTCGCACTTGGTCTATACTAATCGTTAATTAGTTAATTAGAATAATTATGAATGGAAAATTAGGTCTGTTTTCTGTTTCTTCATTAAACTGTTAAAAAGGCTCTTCTTAAAGGATTTAAAATTACTGGATTCCTTTAAACTCTTATGGAGACAATTCCAATCCTGAATTGACCTTACAGAACAAGTACGACCGCCTTCGGTCGTTTTCTTGAAAAGTGGGCAATTAAGATTAAGTTTACTAAATCTAGTATTGTGGTGAGTAAGCAGCTTGTGGTGCTGGACCTGTTTGATGGCCTTGTTGTTTAGGTTAATGTTTAGAGTTTCATTAATTCCATCGCGTTTACGCAATCTTTTACCAACGATCAAACGTCAGTTTCACAAAGCTTTTACGGTGATTCAATTTATCCACAAGTTCCTACTGTTCTATTCAGAAACACCGACGTAGTCCACGCTAGTACTCTACTAGTTATCACCACTAATGTAATGATTGTTGAATTTGCTTTACGCATAATATCAGTCGTAAATTATCAAGACCTTGACCGTAATATTTGCCTCAGCCTACGTCTTTGGCAGTTAACTTCACATGGCCGTGGTCTTGATAATAATATCATATAACGTTCAACCTCATCCAATAATTAATGTTTATTATTTGATTTGTAGTAAACAACCTAATAGTGGACGCTTTCTGAAATTCAAAAAAGACGACAAATGGCACCTATACTGTGTCAATAGAGAGAGCAGCACAGGCATCATGAGTCTTTTCATTGATGGAAAAAACGTCCTCCGCCCTACTATTACTCTCATCGAACAGCCGGGAAGAGTTCCAGAGGCTGGAGGAACGATGCATTTGGGAGGATTCAGGGATAAAAATTTCCGTGGCAAGATATCGGGTGTCAATATTTGGAACAGATTGTTAACGGAAACTGAAATTTCCAAAATGGCAGAATCCTGTGGCGACGCTGCAGGGAATGTCAAAGACTGGTTTGACATCAAGAGTGAGCTGACAGTCAGTAAATACACTTTAACCGCTCCCTCTGCTTGTAGGGCTAACAACTGAGAGTCCAAAGAGCCGTTAGATTCTGAAGACCTCGAAGCAGCTTTGCCAATGAAATGTAACAGAATATCGATAATCAAAATAAAAGCTAAATGTTAGATGGAAATTTTTACCACAATTGTAAATTTTCTCGCGCGCTGATTGGTTAAAAAACGTCGTAAATAAGAGGCCATACCAACAAATGGCGTCATGCAAGATTGTCACGATTGTCAAGAAATTTTTCGGGTTTTTCCAAACCAAAAAATGAGTGAAATTCTACCTTCTTTCGATATTGATATCCCATTCGTCAATAACGATGACGAAGAACTACTGTCTGCTTGTATGGAAGCAGAAAAATACAGCAAAAACAGCCGAAAAGTCGCTTCCCAGCCTTGCAAGACAGCGAGCTCACCGAAATTGTTTCCAAAGCACAATCAAAAGGGACGAAAAAGCAAACAAGGTGGTTTTTAAAAGCTTTTGGAGGTAAATATCATGTATCTTATCGATTAGAAAAACTTTTGGAATCCAGTTTTGAAGATATTAGTCTAAAAAAATGAACAAAAACTATATATATTTAGCTTACCTTGATTATCAAAATTGACGCTAGGAAAATCTGCTTTCTTTTCAAACAGATTGGTGCGACGAAAAAGGCATCTTGAAAAACACAGCAGAGATGACAGATAAAGAGTTAGATGCCCATCTCTACCGGTTTTATGCCGAAGCTAGATCGAAAGCTGGTCAAGAATATAGCCGCTCCACACTGCTTGGCTTTAGAAATGCCATGGAAAGGCATCTTGCATCGGAAGGTCGATACGTATCAATCACCAAAAACCCGAGTTTTCACAAAAGCAACAAGATGCTTGAATCCAAACTGAAGTCTCTAAGGCGTGAAAACAAAGAAAAAGTCCAGCACAAACCAGTAGTCGAAGCAGCAGATATTGCCAAGATTAAAGAAAGTCCTTTCATGAGTCCAACTACTCCCGATGGATTGCTGCGTATAGTATAGTTTTATGTGACCTTGTTTTGGTGCCGGCGTGGATGTGAGGGCCAACGAGGGCTTATCAAAAGCAGTTTCATCTTTCAGAAAGATGCCAAGGGCTGTGACTATGCAATCATGTCTCACCAAGAAGCCACCAAAAACCACCAAGGAGGTTATGGAGACACAAACGAAGTACTAACAAGGCTCTACAGCACCAACACCGAGGGAGATGCATACTGGTGTCTCAAGCTCTACATCTCAAAGCTAAACCCTCTGCAAGAAGCCTTTTTCCAAAAGCCTAAGCAACTCAAAAATGCCTCAGACCCAGTATGGTACGAAAACAAGCCACTTGGTGTCAACAGTCTGGCAAAAATGATGAAAAATATCTCCATTGGTGCCAATTTATCAAAGGTCTACACCAACCATAGCGTACGAAGCACATCGATCACAACGCTGTCAAACTCAGGAGTTCCTTCGAGGCATATCATGGCCATTTCTGGCCATAAGAGTGAGCAGAGTCTGGTAAGCTACAATTCCAGACCATCCACAAGCCAAATAAAGCGATGTTCTGAGATTATTTCCAGTGCTGTTGGGTGTGAAATGGAATCGTCCGGCTACCAAACCAAGCGCCAGTACAGTTCTTCATTCTCGTCCGTTGCTTATCCGAACGTCGCTTTCCAATCTTGCAATATTTCGCAAGCCCAAATCTTTGTTGTTCCACCAGAGAGTTATCACAAGTGAAACTTTTAAGTTCAACAAACTTTTAATTGAATATTATTTCATTCTTCTTGAAATGTATTTCTAACAATCTTTCGCTAGTTTTCATCACCTCGTGCTTTTGAAAAGCCAATTTGAAGTCACATGTCACTTTCGCTTGTCACTTGTAAACCAATCAAAAAGTTTGTTTACAAAAACGTTTGTGAAAATTTACCATCAAATAAAGTCAAAATTATTTTTCAGCTTGAGCAAGAAAAACCGTTTTATTTTATTTTTATTTTAGAGTTTGAATGGAGTGGTTTCTGGCATTAATTTCCTTGTTTTTTTCTCTTCCTCTCGATTTCGTGCAGTCTATTTCCTAGAGTTTTGTGAGTTTTGTAGTAAAAAACAAATTTACGATGGTTTAGCTTGGTATGTCCTCTTATTTACTACGATATGACGCCAAACGTTGGTCAAAATTAGTTATGGACCCACTCGGCTTACGCCTCGTGAGTCCATAACATTTTGACCAACTTTTGACGTCATATCGTGATAAATAAGAGGACATACCACGCTAAACCATCGTAAATTTGTTAAGTATGATGAAAAACGAATTTCGAAATTCAAAAAAATAAAATTATCTTCATACATGTGGAAAATCGTTAGCAATTTTACTATCGAAATGTTGTTGCAATTTATTAAGAATAAGCATTTTCTACAACAAGGAAACTAAAAGGAAAACTTCAACAAATTATAAAAGTTAAGTTGTACATTTTATATAAGTAAATTTGTTAGCACCAGTCCCACACCCTATTCCTATCCCAACAAATAATTTTCAGACCGCCAGATCAAAATCGAATTTAGCTCGTTAGGTTAACCCTCAATTCAAGGAAGGATCTATAATAGATCTACTCACACCTGGTTCCAAGTCCAGGAATTGAATCCATGACCCCAGAATTGAGAGGGAAGAGCACTAGTGCAACGCAACCCTATGGGAAGAAGAGGGATAACAGAGATGAATGAATAGCATGAACGGAAATGAGGGAGGTTCATTCCATATATGTGACAGTTGACAAAACAGCCACTAGAAGGGATATCAAGCTCCAGTATCTCACCTTGATCTTAGTTTCGTTCGTTTTAACCATCGTGGTTACAAGGCAAAGACAGTCCGGCGAGACTGTCTTTTTGAAAAAGGTATTTTGTAGAGAGAATTATATTGGTTCATATATCATTGCATCTCAATCAACAATTTTACTTTTATAATTAATTTTTATAATATTTCTGTCCCGCGACCTCACCCACGATCCACGATGCACGCCAATTAGTCAAACTCTGCTATACTGCGCTTTTCGGTTGGGCTTGGAACGGCTAGATTCAAACTTAATTTCAAGTATTATCGAAATAGCTATTGCATTAAGGCAGTTTTACGCGCTTTCAATTCGGTATTAGTTTTCTAGCGTCTACAACAATGAAGCTAATATTGAAACTTCCCTTAGTTTCAAAAGCAAAGGTTTAAAATAAGCTAATTTAAGGCTATGTTGCATTTTATAGAAGCAATACTCGATACTACCCAATTATTTGCAAACCTCTAATGTCTGTAAAAAAAAGCTCTGATTAAACTCAAGGCACGCATGCCAAACTCACTCTCGGAGAAACACTTTAAACTGACCTGCGATCTAAAGTGTCAACATTAGAAAGTCGGTACCAAACATCACAATCAAAAGTCTTTACTGTTGTACACTTTACTTCAAATGAATACATTTCTTACTACACTGGATTCCCTAACTACCAAACATTTCTTGCCGTTTATAATTTCCTTGATCCAGGCGAGAAATGCGAAAACATTAATTACGGCACATTCAACAAAAGCTTGCTGTACATGTTGTTCATGACTGTCACGAACGTTTTCTAGTCTGTTGAGGATCAGGGTCAATAATATTTTTATCTCGACCTGTATCGATATAATCTTGAACTCTAGGGAAATTCAAAAAGTAGTTTAGAATAACAAGTTAGTTTAGTTTAGAAGGACAACAATATTCATAATATTTTCAGGCATAAGTTATCGGTTCGCACACACGAAAAAATAACTTCGCGAACTTCGAATTTGTGGAATATTACATTTCTGAGTGCTCCAGCAGCCGTACATATTAATCTTAAATCAACTTTCATTCATCAAATTACAAATTTATGCATAATTGTTGTTTTTAGACGATATTATTCTTTGACAGGGCCCGGTTGTACGATAAATTGCGCGAGAAGCGATACTCGCCTCTTCACCAATTGAGCTTTTGTTTTTAAGCCTTTGCCTCGATCTCCTCTACATGTAAGCCAAAATCGTAGTTCATCTGTCTTGAGAGTTGAAGGATTTCGGCCTAAAAGCGAAGCGCCCGGTGTAACTTCTTCAGAAAGTTTAATTGAAGTACCCATTATTATTCAAAACAACGAAGGAAAATCCCGCGAAGGCCTGTAGGACCTCGCTTTCATGCTGCTCGTCACCAGTCTTCCTCATTTTGCATAGGGCGTATGCACATGTGATGCCAAGTCTAGGATTGTACTACAGTTTAAGCCACACATATATACAAGCCGATTCAAAAAAAGTATATTTCGAACACCTCAAGCCTACTCTCGCTAAACCCAAAGACATAGAATTAATGGGTGGTTGGTAACCATTATTATCTTATTACTATACTAGCGGGACTACTTCGACGATACGACGGCCATCTTGGATCGCAAGGTGTTACAATGAGGCATTCAGGGGGCAAATAAAGCTTCGTTACAGTAACAACATCGATTAATATTAACAGCTCACTAAGTGAATACAACAAAAGATGAATTAATACTGCACAACTATCACCCTAACCCATAATAGAAAACACGAAACTCTGTATATTTCCCGTTGTCTTTGTTTAGTATCGTGAAGTACGAGTCCATTCATTCAGAACGAATATCTAACCGCTTCTGTGATTTTTACCCATATTCCCTTTCGGTCCAGTCGCTAGTAGGCTTGAGGGTCGACGACAACGTTTTTTGAATTGACTGTATATGACAGGCGATAAGACAGTCAGTAACAAGCACACGTATCTTACCTAAATCTTCGTGTTTGTTTTGACCACAGTGGTTTCTCATAGACAAGTATTTCTTCATTTTGGAGGATAGACGACCAGCTAGACTCTCTGTATGTGAAAAGAAAATTTTATCTTGGTTAAGTACAAACTATAAAATACAATACGATATCTTATTCTATAGGGGGAAAGGCTGTAGGCTAAATACGAATATATGCGTGTCACGATCACAACAAAGTGTCATTATATTCTTAGAAAAGTGATTTAAGGAGGCTGGAAAGTGTTTTGTGCCTTCACATTATGAAATTTAAAAAATTATTATGGCTATAATATGATAGCCTGCAGAGCAGGCGTTCTTTTGATGGGTTTGAGGAAGAATCGAGGATTTGG